GTCTAATACTTGATTAGATGGATTTAGTGCTTTATTGGAAGGATCTAGTGCTCGATTGGATGGACCTAGTAGATAGAATTGTACACAAAGAAAAGAAGCGATTGAAAAGGGACTGAGACCAACAACAACAACAATATTAGTAATGGTTCAACCTAAGGAGGTGTTAGAACATATTATTGAAGGTACTAAAGAGGAAGAGAATCCAGACACTACACATGTTGAACAAACGCAACAAGTGCCATGGGTGGATATTATTCGAGGTAATCGTCTACCTTCTAATGGTACTGAAATTGTCTATACAGCTTCAGTATTGTGAATGAAGAAACTGAGGTGATTATAGATATTGAATCTGAAATGAAACTTTAGGAGAATGCTCTAATTATGTATGCATTATGGGAATAACTATCGATGAATACGATTAAGAAATTTATGATTAATGTATGGAACTTTGCCTCACTACCAGCATTGTCCTATAACGAGGGAGGGTATTTCATCATTCAATTTCGATCGAAAATTTATAGGGTTGCAGTTCTTATGCGAGGACCTTATATCATTTATCATAAACCCATATTTTTACATAAATGGACTTCACCCTCGAAGATGACTTGCTACGTGTATTATTGTTAGCCTAAAAATTCAAGATGAAGGATTCGACAAAGGATAACAACCTTGCAAAAATTACTACGTATGAAAATATTTGGTCGTTGACATATTACCTAGATCGACCAAAAGGTCTCGAATAATATAGTAAGCATGGTTTAGAAGAATCTCAAGAACAGATTCACAAGATTATGATCACTTCCTCTTATAAACATGTACATAAGGGTTACACCAAATCGGCATATTGACTGAGAGAGGTATCAAAGTCGATACATTTATTAGATGTTGAGGACTTAACATATTTTAGTATAAGAGTCATTTAAGATAATGATAATAAAACTCTTTGGAAGCAAGTCAAGAGTTCTCGATGGGAGTCAGATAGAAAATTTTCAAGGCACTTGTCAGATTGATAGTTGGGTGGTCAGCCTTTTAAACACTAGAGGCGCATGGAAGCATTTTAGAGCATGAAATCCTATATGTTAAGACACATGTTGAACATGTAATAAACAACCGTTGTCGACGGTTATTTTGGATTAGCATATAAAGCAGGCTCAGGCCTTGAAATCAGGGTCACAAAATTCCCATTTATTCTCTATAGAACTAAAGTACCCAAGCAAAAGAGTGAAACAACTTGTGAAAAATGTGAGTCTGCGTCCATTCTTTAAAATTTCTTAAAGCTTTTACGTTAAATGCCATTTAATTTATTTACTTTATGCAAATCCTTTATATTCAAAGCTTTTAACCAAGTACTTGGGCTCGACTTGTAAACGAGCTCCTGCTAAGGGACGAAGGTTCAGAAAATACCGAGTTCGATTCCTGGTGGGAACAATACTTGCCCAGTGTCAATACCTCTCGACATGGGCTCTGGATTACTAGGGCCTCTTTCTCCTGAAAATTATAACACACATTAATAACTTTATCATATATTGCCAAACACAATTTGCTTGCACCATTAAAACCATTAGGAGTGATAATGGACCTGAGTTCATTATGCATTCTTACTATGCTTCCTTAAGTATACTCCATCAAAGAAATTGTGTTGAGACACCTCAACAAAACTCCACAGTTAAAAGAAAACATAGGCATTTGCTTAATGTTACTAGATCTTTTTTGTTTCATGCCAACTTACCAAAATGTTTTAGGTCATTTGCATTTTGCCATGCCACATACTTAATCAATAGGTTATGCAGCCCAACCATACATAATAACACTCCTTATAAACTTCTCTTTAAAACACCTTCATCCTTCACACACCTCAAAACCTTTGGTTGCATTGTAAATGCTTCTACCCTCACAAGAAATTGTGATAAGTTAGATCATCGTGCCTCCAAATGTTTATTCCTAGGTTTTCCAATGGGAACCAAAGGATACTTACTTTTTGACCTTACAAACAAATCCATTTTTACCTCAAGAAATTATGTATTTCATGAACACACTTTCTCTTATACATCTCACCCCTCTCTTCCCACCAACTCTGCACCTGAACCTTATACAGAACAGTCCATCATTCCTTTTTTATTTGAACATATCACATCCACAAAATTTTCTAATACTGTCAACAATATACCTATTCATGACAACCCTCAACAACCTTCCCTTGCATCACCCTCTAACCCTTCACCACTCTCTCCTTACAACATCAATTCCCCTCAAACTCCTCAACATTCCAAAACTACTGCCAGTACCAATTCCCCGACCAACATTATCATTAGAAAATCAACAAGACAGAAAACTATGTATGCATATTTAAAAGACTTTGTTTGCATTGCATCTAATAACTTTATCCCTAATGACATTTCAAAATATATTTCATACAATCATCTTTCTCCTGCATTTTATTCCTTTATATCTGTCATTACGACTACTTGTGACCATGTCTCTTATAAAGAAGCCAGTGCTCATCCACATTGGATCAAAGCCATGAATGTTGAAATACAGGCTCTGGCAGCTAACAACACATGGACTTTTACTAATTTACCTAAAGGTAAGAAAACTATAGGTTGTAAATGGGTCGTTAAGACCAAATTTCATTTCGATGGCACTATAAAAAGGCATAAAGCACGATTAGTTGCTCAAGGTTTCAAAAAAATAGAAGGTGTTGACTTCTTTAATACCTTATCTCCAGTTGCAAAACTCACCATTGTAAGATTAATTCTAGCTATTATGTCTTTAAATTTGCATCTCCACCAATTAGATGTTCACAATGCCTTTCTACACGGTGATTTGGATGAAGAAGTTTACATCTCCTTATCTAAAGGTATTGGTCCTTCTCATCCTAATCAAGTATGTAGGCTTCTCAAATCCATTTATGGATTGAAGCAACCAAGCAGGCAATGGTTTGAGAAGCTATCCACAATTTTAAACACAAACAACTTTAAACAATGCTCCTCAGACCATTCCTGGTTCATACATCAATCTAAAGAACATTTAACTTTCATTTTAATATATGTTGATGATCTACTGATTGCAGGTAATAATCTGAACATCATCAACCACACAAAGAACATTTTACAAAAGCATTTCCACATAAAGAATCTTGGCACACTAAAGTATTTCTTGGGATTGAAAAGCATTTCCACATAAAGAATCTTGGCACACTAAAGTATTTCTTGGGATTGAAAGTGGCACAAAGTTCACCTTGGCATCAACCTTTGCCAACGCAAGTATATACTTGATTTTTTGTCCAACACAAGTTTACTAGGTTGCAAACCTGCCACCACTCCCATGGCTCGTGGCACTCAACTAAAGACAACAGATGGCACTTCACTACTTGATCCTACCAAATATCGCCGCCTTGTTGGACAATTGATTTACTTACTGAATACAAGGCCAGACATTTCATATTTTATACAGCAACTTAGCCAACATATGGCTTCTCCCATTGATGTCCATTACTACAAAACTCTTCGTAAAGCATCTCCAGGGCAAGGCTTGTTTTTCCCCAACAATTATGCACTTCAACTCAAAGCTGTCTCTAACTTAGATTGGGTAACTTGTCCTGAGACTCGTAAACCCATTACCGAGTTTTGTATTTATCTTAGAGATTCTCATATCTTGGAAATCCAAAAAGCAGCAAACAATTTCTTGAAGTTCCACTAAAGCAGAATACTATTCAATAACCTCAACCATATGCGAACTTCAATGGTTAACCAATATTCTCCATGAACTTTCTATCTCCACACAACCTGCACTTCTCTACTGCGACAACACCTTAGCTCGACATATTGCTAGCAACTCATCCTTCCATGAACGCACAAAACATATTTATTTAGATTGTCATCACACCTTTTCCGCTTCCTTCATGTTTCTACTTCACAGCATCTTACAGACGTGTTTACAAAGCCTTTGGATTACAAACCTTTTCATTCCAACATTGTCAAGCTTATCTTCATTCCATATACCCCAAACTTATGGATGTATTGGATACTAAGTTCATTTAGTGTATTGGGCCTTGATCACTTCTATTGGGATTAGCTTACATTCTTTTACTTGGCCCACATATATTGTAATATATATTGTATGTACTCTGAATTTTCTGAATGTGAATACAATCACACATTCATTCATTTTCGTTTCTCAATTTTCCCACGCACATGGCTTGGTTTATCTTGTACTTCCCACGCACATGGCTTGGTTTATCTTGTACCTCCAGCCTTTTGTTGTAATAGATATCAAATGGTAAGATGCATTTTGTTTGTTGTCACGGCAAGGCTTCCCGCTACCAAAAAAAAGTTAAAAAGCACATTGAAGCGATTTGTAGAAGTTTCAAACGGGTGAAATTAATAGAAAAGCTAAGGTGGCTTGGGATAAATATTACTTCACTGCTGAAGTGGAACCAATCATCCATAAAGTAAAATGTTATGCAACTTGCAAGCTAAGGCAGATAAACTATGGGAACGATGGATTAACGCATATTATCTCAAGACACAAGATGTGATGACATGGAAGATTACTCAAAGATGCTCTTGGGTCCTGAAGAATATTCTGAAATGTAGAGAAATAGTGGAGCATACTAGCAACTAGACAGAAGCATTACAAAAGGGAACATAAAAAACTTCTACCATGTAGAATGAACTGCGATGGGAGAAGCAACATGTGGAATGGAAGAAGCTATTCTTTAACTAACATACTAAAGAAAATGGCGATGAAAAGTACAGTCAACAAAGGCATTCAGACATTATTTAGTGACCAAATGTCATGGCAGTACACTACTATCTTTCTGCATTAAAACTTAACCAAAACCCAATTCATCGCCCACCGATGAGGTAAAAGGAAATCATATTTATTCAGAGTACTAAACACAAGTTCAAAGCATTGGTTACAAAATACAGAATCATAACTCAAAACATAAATTTCCGAAGCTGCTTCCAAAGCAGCATATCAATTCCTACTTACGAATTTCAGTTCTTCTTCACAGTGGCGGAGTTGATGATGTCAACGAACTCCGGCTTCAAGGAAGCACCACCAACCAAAAATCCATCAATGTCAGGCTGTGATGCCAATTCTTTGCTGTTTCCTCCATTTACAGAGCCTGCAGTTTTAGATGGAGTTAATTAAATAACGATTGCTACAATGCCTCCAAACTCACACCAAGACTCTTAATATTCTTTGATGACATCAAAATAACCGCATATATAAAAGGAAGTACCTCCATAGATGATTCTTAGAGAGGTAGCAACTTCAGCACCGACGGTGTCGTGAACCCATTTCCTTAAAGCAGCATGGACCTAGGCCAAATATTAATAACATTATCAAGACAACACAATCTACAAGTTACTTCAAAAAAAAAGAAAAAGAGATTGAGCAACCAGATAGCAGAAAAAACGATTTGACACGAGTAAAAATTTTAGGGATCAGTACTACGCAAAGCTATCACGGATTATCAACATAGTCTGATGATTATGATTAATGGACAGTGTAAACAAAATTCACACTGCACAGCGATGTAAGCATACCTCTTGTGCCTGAGCAGGAGTTGCAACCTTTCCTGTTCCAATGGCCCAAACTGGCTCATAGGCCAAAACAACATTATCCCAGTTTGATACTTTCTCTGCAATTAGAATTGAAGACAGCAACAATGTTATTGCCAGCAAATTAGTATGTGACGAAATAAATCAATTAATGGAAATCTGTTGATGCAATTGGAAAAGTATTTTTAGCGAGAATTCCGTCTCACGTAGAGAAACAAGTTGGAAAAAGAGAGGTTGTGAACATAAGAGTACCTGCAATTGCCTTTGTTTGCTCAGAAACAACAGCAAGAGTAGTACCAGCTTCACGTTGCTCAAGAGTCTCCCCAATGCAAGCGATAACTTTCCTCCCTAGTGAGAGTGCATATGCAACTTTGTCTCCCACAAACTGCAGCAGATCATAAATCAGTAGAAAATCGGAAGTTTTGATAGTAGAATTTAATCTTCCGCAAATACAACTATGCAAAGTAGAAGTTATAACACAACTAGCACAATATAAGCCAAAGGAAACTAAAAGTTATGTACCTCATTTGTTTCATTTAGAAGCTGCCTTCGCTCGGAGTGGCCAAGAATAACCCAAGGGATATCCAAATTTACAAGCATCTCAGCACTGTTTAAGGAAAAAACACATTAAATAATTGGTAGAAACTTCAAAATTATGCCACGCTATTAGTAAACCAAAGAATCAGACAGTTATGTTACATGGTTCTAGTTCTGCCAAATATGGAACAACAAAACCCAGTGGCCATAAAAACTACAAGCAAAGCACCAAAATGAATTGAAGTGCCAAGTACAAATAACATACCTAATCTCCCCGGTATAAGCACCACCTTTGCGAACCCAACTGTTTTGAGCAGCAACATGGAAGTCAGAGCGAAGTAAACTTTTCACGAAGGTAAGGAACACATAAGGGGGGCTCACAACAACTTCTGTAAAACCAAAAACACATTTGTTAGCATTAACTAATATGAAGAAATTTTAAAGCCCAAACAGATAAGCGAATTTCATTACTAACAATTCTCGCAAACACCATGTATACATGGAAAATTGATTTAAGTCTTATTATAACAATTCAAAAGGGCTTCACGGTGGCTCGTGATATGAACAAACAAATAAAGAACCTTCTAGTACTCATAAATTTTCTGATTAGAAACACAATCCAAAATAATAGTCAAAGTTAGCAAAATAGATCATTGCCAAAAGGGATCTAAGAATCAAATGTTTAAACATAAAAAGAGACCCTGCTAAGACTCACCAACAACATCTTCCCCGGGGACTTTAGCTTCGTTCAAAGTACCCACAATTTTCTTCACCTCTTCAGTGGTTCCATTCTGCAACAAAATCACTATAAATTATGTAAAAAGCTCGAGTTCATGTTTCCTTTGTGCATATCCCTATATGGAATTAAGATCTTAACATAACATTGGTCCCATCACAACAAACTAGCAAGATCGGGAAAAGGGTATTGTAAATAAACTGATCCAACATTAATTTCACAATACAAATCCAATCCTCCGATCAGATCTTATAGGTTACAATCACAAGAGATGATAAAAAGTGAAGAAGTAAAGATTTCATCAAAATTAAGATGGAAAGAACAGAAAGGAGGATTGAAACATACGCATTTCCAGTTACCACCGACGAAGAACTTTCTGCCCATGTTTAGGTTAATGTTTTCGATTTAAACGAGGAAGTGAAAAACCCTTTGTTCTTGTTGTTGTTCTGAAGTGTTTGTTGTTCACCCTTTATATTGTAGATAAACCGAAGAATATGCTTTAAACATTTTAGTTTATTAATTCATTAATTTATTTATTTCTTGGTGAACACATCAACTCCCCATTTGGTTGATATAATTAAAAAAATACTATAAAAGCATATTAGGAACCAATAAAAAAAAAGTGAATTAAATTTTTTTAATTATTTTATACGATTCTTATCTATACAGATTCCTTAAATAAGGATTTTATATAATTTTATCTACAAAAATCAATAAACAAATGCGAGTTTAATAATTAATGGGAAAATAAGTTATAATTTTTTAAACTATATTTAATAAGATAGAGAGAAGAAAAAAAATGTGAATTTTATTTTGTTAAAATTTGTATATTATTTTTATATAATAAAAAATAGGATAAAATATATATTATTAAGAAAAAGTAAATGAAATCAATTAAAAAATATGGATTTTATGTTCTTATAGATTTTTTATATTTTTTAGTAGAGTGGATTAATAAAATAATAACTTTTATATAGTTTTTACTTAAAAATAATTAATAAAAAAGATAAATGTGGGTTTAAATAGTTAGTGAGAGAAAAGTTGCAAAGCATGTTTAGAATGGAACAAAGCCTGTTTAGCGAAATTGCTTTGGAACCTTTGTAATAAGAAGGACTCCCTTTGGGTGGAGTGGATTCATTCTTTTTACTTCAAGTCTACTAATATTATGCAGGTCCAGGGAAACATTGTATGTCATGGATTCTCAAAACTATTCTGAGACATAGAGACATCATGACGGGCATGGAAGATTGGGACGATATGAAGGTCAAATACTTTATAGGTAAAGTCTATCAATACCTCAAAAAGGATGAACCTGATATTGGATGGAACCACATGTTATCAAATTCAATTGCTAGAACGAGAGCCTTACTCTATGGGTGGCGTGCCACCGTAGACTTGCGACAAAGGTGCGGCTCAAAAAGTTTAGAATTACTACGGATGACAAATGTAATTTCTGCAACAAAGAAGAAACGATTGGCCATATGTTTTTCCAATGCCCCCGTTTCAAATCTGTTGGCAGGAAATTATGGGGTGAATGGGAGTTCAACACACCCCTTGCGAATGGCATGAAGAGTTGAACTGGATTATAATACAGTGCAAGGGTAAGGGCTGGAGGAAGTGCCTCTTGTGTAGTTCCATAGCGGAGACTATTTACGAAGTTTAGAAGAATCATAACAACGTCGTCTTTGCCAATACTATGAATACCATTGAGATCAGAGATGTAGTTATCTCTACCCTTGCTAACAGAGGGTGGATTAATACTAGTATGAGACGTCATATAGTTAACCTTCTTATAGATTAATGGGGTTTTTTTATTGTTTTGTGGGTGGGTTTTCCTTATACCCGTGTATATTCTCTCTTTTGGCTTTATATAAAGTTTCTTTATTCTAAAGTTACAATTTTTTAATTAGTGAAAAAAAATTGGTTTTTATTCAATATATATATATATATATATATATATATATATATATATATATATATATATATATATATATATATATATATATATATATATATATATATATATATATATATATATATATATATATATATATATATGAAAAATTATTAAATTATTTTTAATTTGATTTAAAGATTTTCTTGATAATTTTAAAACTATATATGTAGGGAATGAATAAAAAATTTATTCAAATTTTTATCATATATGATAAATTGTTAATGTCTAATTGTTAATATATATTTACATATCATCTTTTTCATATTAATTTATTATAAATTAATTTATGTTTTGAATAAATTTTTTCTAACAATGTTAGTGTCATAATTTTTAAATCAGTCAAGTTTACTATTTCTTTCGTACTTTTGAGCTACAACAAACATGACTTAATTGTCCTAGTATACAATGTAACGATGAATATTAGTTAAATTTATAATTTAATTAATAATTAATAAAAAAAATTAATCAATTTTAGTAATTTTACATATAATTGTAAAAAAAATGTTGTGCCAGAACACTAATTGAATCCAAAAATATAAAGAAATGATAAAAACTAATTAATAGTAAAGTAGAGAGATCGAGTATGGATTGATATTCATAATCAAGTTTAAAATTGTTTTTGAGAGTGTATAAGACAACTTATAACGATTTTTTTATCCAAATATCTCATTTTTTCAACAAAAAAAAAAAAATCAAAATAACTCACTTTTCAAAGTACCCCACTGTAGGGTACTCATAGAATGCAAGCGTCAATTGGGATGACGACATTCACATGTATCATGTGTTGTCGCCAATTGGATTGAAGACAATACATGGTGTTGTCAATCTAATTGGCGACATAGTGTAAATTCTATAAAGGTGTCGCTAATTCAACTAGAGACAGACTTGAAAGTGATTTTTTTCTATAAATAGAGGTATTCTGATCATTTATTTCCACGGCTCATCTCAAATCTTTGTATTATTGATAACATGTATCATCACTGCTACGGGAAAGTCATATATTCGAGAGAGAAACCTCTAATGGACATGTTATTTTGGAACATTCAAAGTTTCAACCAACTAAAGAGGGAGTTGAATCGGTGGTTAGAATGAGACATACTTGAAGGGGGGGAAATTAGAAGTATCGAGAGACATGATCTCCTACGTGGGTGGGTTTGCGTTAAGACTGACAATGATGCGAGGGAAGTGATGTTTGGACCAAATGACATCAGTTTGATTGTTGTAATCAGTTAGAAATGTTTTATTTTTCTGTTGTGATATATGTTGTATGTGTTGTTTGTTGTTAACTTTGTTGTAACAAAAAGTCATTAATATATGAAAATATAAGGTTACAACAATTGAAATGAGAAAATAAATTATGATACAGAGATTGCTCCGACATTGGGATAATTTTTCCGATTGTGTATGGGTTGACGACATATACTGCATAATCTTATCCAACCGGTGAATGTACCATGACATTAGAGAATATGTACATGTTACTCGGGTTGTGAATTGATGGTAAGGCGGTCAATAGAAAAACAAACTTTGATAGTTCAATTTGTGAAGAGCTTTTGGGTGTCGATTTGCTGGATGATAACCCAAGAGGCTAAGGTATCTTACTTTCGCGTCTCAAAACATAGTACAACAGTTTAATATTAGATGAAATTCTACCGAAGAAATGAAAATAATAAAAATCAGGTGTTATCTTATGCTTTTACTTGGTTTATTTTTATTTTCCGAAGATACTGGTTCTACTATGCACGTTATGTATTTATCCTTATTGAGAAATCTAGATAAAATAAGAGAATATAGTTGGGGTTCCACTTGTTTGTCTTATTTGTATAACTTTTGTGTAAGTGCACACAAAAAATGCATCTACTTTTTCTGGATGCGCCGTTTTGCTCCAAGCATGGGGTTGGTCTAGATTTCCATCCCTAACGCCTGTCAACCATAACAACTTCATTCCCGTATGCACAAAAGTAAGTTAATAACTTAATATTAGTTAATTCACATTACTAATTATTGTGTATAACTAATTGAATTTGAACTTTTTGTTGTTTAATGGTCGGCTCGGGATATGAGTTACAATAGATGCCATAAACATTGTATCATTTAATACCGCAATCTCTTGGATCACCTTACACTTGAAGATGTAAGGCCTCTAAATAAATCAATTTATTTTTTATATCACCCATTTTATGATCTAATATTTTTCTCTTCTTCAGTTTATTCGGCGTCCATATCTAAACATGGAACACCTACATGAAGTCAGTGAGGAAGATGCAGCCATCTGGACTGCATGTGTGCCGATCATCAGACTCACCACTATGGAGATGCACCACAGTGACCGTGTCAAACTACAGTTTGGAATGCATTAAAACATCACAGATCCCTCGATTGACCTTGGTAAATAGCATCTAAAAAAGTTAATGATCAATGGGACTATCCCAACTGGACTTATATAGCTTATATGGCTTGGTACAAATCAATTACAACTGGGCTTATCTTCGAAGAGAGGTATCTATACGACCCACCACAAACCACATACACACAAGAAGCTTCAACGTCTAACCCACCGGGAAATTATTGGACATGTTACTCACAACCCCTACCCAACAGAATTACCAACCCACAAACACACAAATCCATCATCCAAATATGTCAAACACTCAACCACAATACCAAGAGTGTCCTCTATACCATCTCCAACAAAATGACTATTATCAAGACATCCAAAATGCCTATGCCCCAAACACAACATCAAGATATAGACAAAATGAGAGTACATCATACCATAGTCATGACACCCAAACATCTTTCCATAGCCAAAATGCTCAGACATCACACCCTAGGCTACATACACAAACATCTAAAACAACCTTATGGCTTTCAAACACCAATATTATTTCAACCTTTCATCAATGATTCCTTCACACCAATGTCACCCTCAATCATCCAAGCTGCACACCAATGACCTCTTCATCACATCCGAACTATTCTGACATGGGTCGCACGCTCACTTTCAACATACAAGACCTCTTGGAAATGCAAGAAATTCTTAGGGATTCGGTTGGGAATGTTCCTGGGACTTCAACTCCTCAAACACCTAGAGTGAATCAACAACGAGAGGGACGGGTGCAACGAGTTAGGGTGCCTAGAAGAGGGAACCTGTGGCCGATATGACCATCCCGGTCGCCAACGTTAATTTATGTAATATTATTTTTAACTAATTATTAATTTTAGTTGTTTAATTTTAAAACAAATTCACTTTTAAGTCTGTCTCCAGTTGAATTAGCGACACCCTTACTGCATTTACATTGTGTCGCCAATTGGATTGGCAACACCATGTTTTGTCTCCAATCCAATCGGCGACAATTCTTGATCCTTGAAAAGGATCGCCAATTGGTATGGTGCACATACTCTATCAATACCCTAAAGTGGGGTA